TATTTATATAAAATGTTAAGTATTTTTTAAGAAAAAATAATTATTTCTAATAAATATAATAAAAATAAATAAACTTTAATTATTAAAAATAAAAAATAATTAAAATTTTATAAAAATACAATAAGTTAGAGAAATGAATTAAGGTAATGCAATTAAGTTAAACAACCGAAGCAACGGGTCCTTTCTTTTATACGCGCTTTCTTTTGTCGATTCATTTTATTGGCAAAAACTTCTCTTTTTTTTAGCTTTTCACCTTGTCAAATTTGAAGGTTTTAGTCTCTTACTTTATATTATGACATTTTTAACCTCTCACCTTATTAGATTTATAAGTTTTAACCTCTCACCTATTAAAATAAAAAAAAATAGCTCTCACTTGATATTAATTGTTAATTTTGTCAGATAAAAGTAAATTTTTATTAATTAATAGTCAACTAATAGTCAATTAATAATCAATTAATAAAATTAATAAAATATTATAAAGTTAATTCTGTTAATTCTTTTAGTTGAAAGAGGATTTTTGATTAGTTAATAGTCAACTAACAATCAGTTAATAGAGTTAATAATCAACTAATAGAAGTAATTAAATGTTACAAAATAAAGGCTTTTTTCTTTAATTTTAATAGATGAGGGGCTAAAAATATCATAACATAAGGTAAGGAACTAAAACTTACAAATCTAGTAAGGTAAAGAGCTAAAAATGTCATAATATAAGATAAGGAGTTAAAACCTTCAAACTTGGCAAAATAAGAGGTTAAAAGGAGGCTTTTACCCATTTTCTTCTCATGTTTTTCTTTCTTCCCAAATCCACAGGGGAAACATCATACTCATCATCTTCCTGGGGATTCGTCGGCAATCCATATTCCAAAGAAACGGTAGTCGGAAAGAAGTCGGAAGATTATGAAGAAGGAAGTGATAGAGATATAATCGTCGCCTGACAAAGAGGAAGTAGGGACTGCCTGGCGCCCAATCTTTTGCCTTAAAAGCATCAAAGATATGAAGCAGACTGAGGAGGTTGAAGATTGCTTCATTCTTGAGTTTGACCCTTTTGATTCGGTTGATGTCTCCAAGCTCTCCCTCTAAACAGAGGAAGACGCCACTTTCGTTCTCCATTTCTTTTCCCTCCTTTCCTAAAATTAAAGCCGTTAAATTTAAGTTTCTCGGTCTGTATACTCAAGAAATTCAATGATTTAGTAAATGGGTGTGATT